TTAACCCTTACGTACAACCACCCACATCATGCAAACGATTAGATTAACATACCAACATTATTAAAAATACGTAGGACATTGATGCTATCAATATCTGACGCGCTCGAGTATGTCCATGCAACAGTATTTTTTTACATATTCAAAAATCCATAGCCGCTTCCCCCACCGATATAAGTTGAATTATGGTTCTTGCTGCAATCTTTATAACGGTCAAACGGAAATTTCTCATTATAAAGAACAATCTCAAAGGAATAATAAATCTGTAACAATTTTTTCAATAATGAAACTTGCCGAAAATGTCAGGACGGATGTTATCCAATGTCCGTCTTGGTATTACAGGTGTACACTTTCAAAGTATTTGGTTAGTATTCGACAGATCCCACTTTGTGTGTATGCTGCCTGTATACGTTTTATTCAATGAAGTTTTTTAAATCACAGATGACCCCTTTGTTGGCCTCTGGGAAAGCTCTGTACATTTTTCATTAGGTCAACTCAATCCGTTAATATTAGTTTTCAGAACTTACAACTGGGGTATATACATTCAACACTAAGCAATCTTCTGTCTGTCTGGGGTCTTCTGAGAAGGGAGGATTGAATTGGTGGCAAATTTTTTTATTATCAGTAGTGTTCAATAATCCTGTCCATTTTTCAACTGGCTGCGGTTCCTGTAACAAATACATTCGATAAATAATGTATGCGATGCATACGATTCCAATTCACTTTACGGTAGTTGAAACCTATGTAGCTCATTACATAATTTCGATTTGACATTGCTGCGATATACAGGGTGTTACATAAGTTCGTTAAAATATTCAAGTGACGTATTCCTGAAATAATTTTAAGAAAAAAAGTCTATATGAACTTGTGTCCGAAAATGCTTCGTTTCGGAGATTCGGGGTGTTGAAATTGAATTCTTTTTGTTCGCTTTTTGAAAATAACTCTTGCAAAAAATAAGTTATTTGCACGAAATCAGGTACCCGAGGTTCTTTTGACGTGAGAAAACCTAATTTTGTATTAATTTTCATGTAACATCTAGAAGGCGCTGCGTACGCTGTGATTGTTTATTTCAAATTGCCCTTACTTTTTTGACGTAATTTCCACATCTTTTCCAAGTAAAAAAGGTACACTTCCTCAACAACGCTGGAGGTGATCGTTTTCGAGATATTTACAATTTTCTATATCGATGTATATTACTTAGTTTGGTGATGAACGATAAGGTTAGTAATATCAATAAGGTAACCAGGAGAATCATTACTGAAAATGGTATATTGAAGTTTAAAGAGTTGATTGCTAATAAAAATTGGTCAGTATTTTTTGATAATAATGAAGATGTTAATAGCTTGGCGGATTGGCTAGTTGATACTTATAAAAATACAGTTGATGATTGTTTTCCATTGAAAACTCACCAGTGTAGATATTTTCATGGTTCATGCCA